AATTGTTGAAATTTTCCAGTCATATTCTCTAGGCTGAATTTGGTCAAATTTGGCCGGGTTTGGTCGAGCTTGGTCGGGCGTGGTTGAGTTTGGTCGAAATTGGTCGAAATTGGTCGAATTTGGTCGAATTTGGTCGAAATTGGTCGAGTTTGGTCGAATTTGATCGAATTTGGTCCAATTTGGTCGGATTGGGCAGTCCATCGCCAGACTGCTCGTCTAGTGCTCGTCTAGTGGCCGTCTAGTGCTCGTCTAGTGCTCGTTTAGTGCTGGCGCTCGTCCAGTGCTCTTCTAGTGCTCGTCTAGTGGCCGTCTAGTGCTCGTCTTGTGCTCTGTCCAGTGTCTAGCACTGGTCTAGTGCTCGTCCAGTGCTCGTCTAGTGCTCTGTCTAGTGTCTAGTACTCATCTGGTGCTCGTCCATTTCTCGTCTAGTGCTCTGTCTAGTGCTCGTCTAGCGCTCATCTAGTGCTCCGTCTAGTGCCCGTCTAGTGCTCCGTCTAGTGCTCGTCTAGCGCCCATGTAGTGGTCGGTCTAGTGCTCGTCTAGTGCTCGTCTAGTGCTCGTCTAGTGCTCTGTCTAGTGCTCGTCTAGTGCTCCGTCTAGTGCTCGTCTAGCGCCCATCTAGTGCTCGTGCTCGTCTAGTGCTCGTCTAGTGCTCTGTCTAGTGCTCGTCTAGTGCTCGTCTAGTGCTCATCCAGTGCTCGTCTAGTGCTCCGTCTAGTGCTCGTCTAGCGCCCGTCTAGTGCTCGGTCTAGTGCTCGTCTAGTGCTCATCTAGTGCTCGTTTAATGCTCTTCTATTGGGGCACGTTGCGTGGCCAGGCTTTGGCACTCCCTTCTGCTTCGGCCAAGCCTTGACAGGCCAGCGGAGTCCGTATTCTGTCAGATTGCTAACAGTTCGAGCAACTGCTGTGTTCCTGGCGTGGGGGCCGGCCAAGTGTTGCCCACGAGGTCCGCTCCGTTATCGCGGCCTTCGTGGCTGCCAAGCCTCCGGGCTTCGGCGGTGCGACGGCCGCGCTCGATGCGCCGCTTGGCGGCAGTGTTCCGCCCGTCTTTTGCTTGGTTTGGCGAGCGGAGACCTAAAAAAAAAGATCAACTCCCCGCACTGGAATTAGGCTGCCCAATTCTGAGAACCCACCAGAGGTCAATTCGCAGTCATCTGTGGCGTCGGATGGTGTTCTCGAGCCGAAGGGTTTCATCTTGGGTTGTGGGGGCCGGTGCCCGACGCGTCCTTCGGCCCGCCCACCCGAGGCTGATCTGCTTTGGCATGTGCTCGGAGGCCTGAGACGGCTCTTCCAAACATTCGACCCAGTTTAAACGACAAAAAACAATTGAGTCTCTCTCAAAATAGGGGAACCCGTTTTGGAAAGGCTCTTCATGGAACAAGGAATGGTAGCCGCTTCCCAATAGGGTACCTCTCTTGCTCGAGACAAAAACAGAGCATTTGTTTGTTTTTTGTTTGCGGGCGCCGGGGGTTGAAGGACCCGTTTCAGGGCGTGTCTGAAGGTTTCCAGTCGGGTAGGGATTTATGCTCATAAGCCAACGCATTTATTTGGGCTCTGAGAGAATTACACACCCGCCCGTTGCCCGTGCTTCCTGGCATCTTTTTTGCATACTTTGTCTCCCTCTCTTTCTCTCTTTCTCTCTTTCTCTCTTTCCCTCTTTTGTTTGTCTCTTTCTCTCTGTCTTTATCACGTCGTTTGGGAGCAAAACACGTGCACTTGTTTTTTTGAGGACGCCAAAAAGGAAACCACGCAAGCAAGTGCTTTTGGAGGGTACCAATGGTTGTTCCCTTTTTTTGAGGGTACCCTGTTACTTTGGAAATCAAAAGGAAACCACAATTTTGGGGACCAAATCCCAGTTTTAAAACATACCCCAAAAAGGAGAAGGAGACAAAGATATGGCCTGTGTGTTGGATATGAGTCCCTTTGGGGTTCGCGGGCTCCTGTAAATGGCTGGTTCCCTTTTGGCTTTCCTAAACATGCGCACGGGAGTCCAACCCATTCCCGTATCCCCTCCTTTCCCCCATAGCCAAATGCGCCTGATTCAGAACTTCGGTCTCCGACCCACAAAGGCTCGAAAGGAAGCCTTCATTTAAGGCGTCGAAAGCTTTCTGCCCTTATGACTATGTGCAATGGTTTAGACTGACCCCTTTCATATTTAGTTAGCATTGCACCCTTTCATACCAGCTTTTGATCATTTGTGTATTCTCCCGGGAGTTTCAAAGGCTCAGCCGCCCGATTCCCGCGGTTTGATCTCCCATCGGACAGCCAGCCTCAGGTCTTGGAGCAGAACATTCGAGTTCGATGGCTTTCACCTCCGTTTGACGATGCCTACGAAATAAAAAGTGGTGCGTGGGCCAGCGGAAGCCCTAAAGCGAGGTGTGGGGCAGCAGCAACCCTAAAGCCAGGTTGGGCCAGCAGAAGCCCTAAGCCCTAAAGTGATGTGTGGGCCAGCGTGTGTGGGCCACCAGAAGCCCTAAACCCTAGAGTGATATGAGCCACGGACAAAACCTACGTCGACCACTTTATCAAGAGGGGTTGAATTATATGTCCAAACTGCGCGATACCCTGTGGAGCCCCCAAAAAAAAACGATAACCCTCAAGTTGCGACTTTCGAGCGGGAGCTGCTGAAGTGCATTTCGCGTACAAGACTTGCACTATAAAATTGCGATTTTCGAGCTGGAGCTGCGGAAGTGTACCTCGCGTACTAGACTTGTACTATAAAGTTGCGATTTTCGAGCTAAAGCTGCGGAAGTGTGCTTCGCGTGCTAGACTTGGACTACAAAAAACAAAGTCGACCAAAATCGTCCGAAATCCTCAAGATCGTCCAAAATCGACCGGCTGAATTCGACCAAACTCAACCAAAATCGACAAAACTCGACCAAACTCGAACAAATTCGGCCAAACTCAAGCAAAATCCAACTAAACTCGACCAAACCAAACTCGACCAAACTCGACCAAAATCGACCACATTCGACCAAACTGGACCAAACCCGACCAAATTTGACCAAATTCAGCCTGGACAATTCAACCGGAAAAATTCAAGAATTTTCCGGCTGAATTCAGTCTGGCGATGGACTGCCCAATCCGACAAACTTGGACCAATGCGCTCGACCAAAGTCGACCAAACTCAACTCGAAGTCAATTATAGTAGACAGCGCGCGACCAAATTCGACCGACTTCGACCAAAATCGACCAAATTTCAACCAAATTTCGACCAAACTCGACCAAATTCGACCAACATCGACCAAACTCGACCAAAGTCGGACAAATTCGACCAAACTCCACAAACTCCACCAAACTCGACCAAACTCGACCACACCCAACCAAACTCGACCAAACCCGGCCAAATTTGACCAAATTCAGCCTGGAGAATCGCACTGGAAAATTTCAAGAATTTTCCGGTTGAATTCAGTCTGGCGATGGATTGCCCAATCCGACCAAGGTCCACATTCGACCAAAATCGACCAAATTCGACCAAACTCGACCACACCCGACCGAACTCGACCAAATTCGACCAAATTCGACCTATTTCGACCAAATTCCGCCAAACTCGACCAAAATCGACCAAATTCGACCAAACTCGACCACACCCGACCGAACTCGACCAAATTCGACCAATTTCGACCAATTTCGACCAAAATCCACCAAACACGACCGATTTCGACCAAATTCGACCAAATTGGACCAAACTCGACCAATTTCGACCAAATTCGACCACACTCGACCAAATTCGACCAAATTCGACCAAACTCGACCACACCCAACCAAACTCGACCAAACCCGGCCAAATTTGTCCAAATTCAGCCTAGAGAATGTGACTGGAAAATTTCAAGAATTTTCCGGTTGAATTCAGTTGAATTCAGTCTGGCGATGGATTGCCCAATCCGACCAAATTGGACCACTGCGCTCGACCAAAAAAGACCAAACTCAATTCGAAGTCAATTAAAATTGACAGCGCTCCACCCCGTGCGACCAAATTCGACCAATTTCGACCCAAATCAACCAAATTCGACCAAACTCGACCGAACACCACACCCGACCAAACTTGACCAAATTCGACCAAATTCTACCAATTTCGACCAAATTCCACCAAATGACTGTCAAGAATTTTCCAGTGGAGACTTGCCCAATCCGACTAAATTGGGCCACGAACCACTGCGCTCGACCAAAGTCGACTAACATCAAATTCAACCCCTGACCAAGTGCTCGAGGTTCGATTTCACTGGCGGGTGTTGGGATGCGATTGGCGGGCTTGGCAGTGCGCGATTGGCGGGTTGGCAGTCCGTGATTGGCGGGACGGGACAGTTTGCGATTGACGGGCTCCCCGTATCCGATTGGCGGGCTACCCTCGGTTGCCCTTGTTGGTTTTCCCTTTAAGACCGTAAGAAAACAAGAAACTGAGGGGGGGGGACCCTGAAATGGCTGGAATTCAGATGGTGTGTGTTTTCTATTCTGGGTTTTAAGGGAATCTATCACTGGAATTTGTTGTTCATGTTTTCCAGGGGACTCCAGCAAATGGAGGTGATGGGTGTTTCTCAAAGGGGAACTCTGCAAACAGGTGGTGTTCATTTGGGCTTCCTTTTCGTTGTTCAAAAACCGTCCAGAATATTGAGAATCACCCCTATGAATTTGTTGAGTTTTGGTTGGTGCGTTTTCCGCCTTTCCCTTTTTCACAAAGATGCTTGGGGTTGCAACGGGTGAGATTTGGGACGTGTTTCATCCGCGCATGTGCTTTCGGCCAGGGCCCCCTTGCCAACCAAACGCTGGCAAGACCACGCCCCGCTCAGGGTACACTTTGGATGCTCGGGCAGACCAGCCTCGCAACAGATCCCTGATGTTCGATTCTGGGAACCAGGGATCTTCCCTTCCCTTCAAGTGAAGGCTCAGGTGTCTTCTTTTCGGAAACAGGGAAACTTCGTGCATCTTGCTCAGTGTGTGTTTCTTGCAAAAAGGCCCGGTTCTGGTATTCAAAGAGAAACCAAAAGGACCCCACCCTTGCCATGTTGGGACTTGGCACCGACTTCTTTGGGAAACGTCGCCAGGTGGTGCGGGCTCTCTGCGCCCTGCCTGGGGCTTTGGTGGCGGCGGGCACCAACGACGGCTGCGTGCGGCTCTGGGACGCGAGTTCTGGGCAACTGGCCGCAGAGCGCCAGGTGGCGCAGTGGGGACGCCCAGAGCGATCCTCGCTTGGTCAGCGCTCTTGAATTTGGTGCCTTAAGTTTGGGGAGCCCCGCCAAATCCAAAACGGCTTTGGTTGTCCTTTCACATTGTCCCAGAGAAACAAAGAAAGAAGAAGGTAAAAACCACCAAAAGCGGGGCTTGCCCTGGTTCCCCCCCAAAAATCAGAGACAGGCCCATGCTTCAAAACCAAACAAAAACGGGGGTTGCCCCTGGTTTTCCCCCCACAAAAAGGCGAGGCGACGGACCCAGGTCCTACATCCTCTCCCTGGCCCGGGACCCGGACACCGGGCACCTGGCCGCCGGCACCTCCGAGGGGCAAGTGGTGATCCTCGAACACGCAGGCGGGCGGTGGCTGGGTGATGCTGGGTGGCCGGCTCGTCTTTTAGGGGACAGGGGCACCAAAATGGGTGGGGGTCCTTTTTGTTGTCCCGTCAAAACCACCAAACTATACCAGCATAGACCCCAAACAGGTTGCAAAAGAACACCATGAAAAGCAGGGGGGTACTCTCAAAAAAGCGACACACCCATATGATATAAGATGAGCCATATGGGTGTGTTGGGTCATTTTGAAGGAAAGCCAAAGGGAAATGACCATTTTAAGGATCCCCCTTTTTGAGGCACGCCAAAATGGCCATGACACAGGGAACCACCTCAGTCGTCTATGAGAGGATGCTTTTGGGCCTCATGTGGTCAGATGTTTGGCGTGTCTTCCACGGCATGGTGTTTGTTTAAGCCTCATACCCAGAGGGTCCAGTAAAGTTCCCCGGAAGGATGGCATAAGCAGTTGGTTCTGACATGGGGTTCGGTCATGTTCAGTCAACATATGCGTCCATGCGCGAAGGGCATGAGAGATCAACGAAAGCATGTTGACCCTGGCTCACATTATTACGCATATTACGCATTCCCGTAAACGAAGCCACAAGCAGATGGCAGATGGTAGGGCTGTTTCTTCAAATCAACCTGCCAACAAAATTGGACACCTTCTCCATTAGTTGTCATAACGTCCCCAGTCGCTCAAACCAGACCGTCATACCAGGGTCTCCACACAGTCTCTACATGTTCGCCTTGGGTTGTTTTTTGTTCAGTGTTTTTCCCGGTGAGTCTCCTTAAACGTCAGAGGAACTTTGTGTTTTGGAGTTGGTCCCAACTTGGTTTTGGTGGTGTTAAATGCGATACGATATGTATGCGCTTACCACAGAGAAAAAGAAAAAAGTCATCCCGATGAACACCTCGTCTCTGTGGGGAAATCAACTGACGCCCCATCAAAACACCCGGCCCCTCGCTCGCCGCCCTTCGGCTGAGGCTCCGAGCTGAAGGTCCTGGAGGAGCTTCAGCTCTGCGGGGAGGTCGATCGGCCCCACGGGAAGTTTTTGGTTGGCGGGTCGCCCCTTTGGGCGGGTTGGCTGCCTGGACAAAAATGGCGGGTTTCCTTGTTTGGCGGGCTTTGGAACCAAATGCATAGGTGCTTTGAAACATGGTGGACTTCTTGAATTATGGACGGTTTCGTTTTTTAGTTCACGGGGACGAATCTACGGAACCCTGTGACACAATCGCGCGGCCGTCAAAGAGCTCTGTTTTGCTGATCCTGAGGCGCTACCACCGGTTGTCAAGCATATATACGGCCCCTTTCTGGACCCGTCCCCGTCCCTGGCTGTCTTAGCAGCAGATTTGGACAAAAATTGTTTCAACCAGACCCTGGTACTCCTTGAAAGAGCCAAAAGGATTGGTTTAAACGGCCTGTAAATGAATCAAGGCCTTTCAGGTGAAGTGGGTTGTGGTGCTCCAGTTGATTTCCCTTTGAAACCAAAAAATTGCGGGACTCGCACCTTGCTGAAATCCCTGGGTTCAAAGGGATTCATCTATCACTTGCTAATTGTTGTTCCAGTTTTCTCGTGGGACTTATGATCGTGCTCCTCCTGGTTTCCCTTTGAAACACAACTTGATTTTGCTGGGAATGCGGAAACTGCGATGCACCCAAGATCCAATCGCACTGCAGCTGATGTTCACTTTTGAACAGGCGCACACAAGTGAGGTGGTCCTTACCACCGGAATGCCATGCTCGCTGAGCACACTACTGCCTTGGCAAAAGGGGCCCCTCCGGAGCCGATACATCACAGGTCCCATGCATTGTGGAACTGCTCAAAGGGCCAGGTGTCAAGTGGCCATGCATACATGTGTTCATGACTGCGGTCATCAACTGACCTTGCAGAATTTCACGGATACAAAACTCCCTTCAGTTGATGACCGCTCTCAAATAGCCCTCGATGGTCTTCACAGCAGACCGGCCTTGTTCATGACTCCGGCGGGCTGACGTAAAGCTCTGGTCGTAGGCGATTGCCCAAAGACCAGTGGAAAGGTACTTCCGAAGTCCTAACCGGCAGTCTTGCTTCTTCTTGGTGAAGGCATCGCCTAGGTCATAGTCGCTGGCAACCCAGCGTAACTCGGCGAGAGTCCTGTGCAATGACTCTCTCAACTGCAGAGCTTGAAGAGCGGACCTGGCGTCGCTGAGGCCCAACATCGGAGACTCATTGTACATCACGGCGTCAAAGCCGCCCTTGGAATCTGTAGCCAGGATGCCCTTGACATTGCGCGGGAGCCTTTCGGCCCATGCTACTCGATCTTCTTCAGGACGAAGATCTTGACCTGCCCCATTCATCTCGCTCCACAAGACGCGGATCCGAAAGTTTTGATCCTCGCCTTCCAAAACTGCTTGAACTTCAGCATCATTGGAGCTGATGGCTTTCCTTCTCAACTTCCAGCTGCGCCAGCAAAGTGGCGCCATGAAGGTGACCTTGCCCTTGACGGCTTGTGGTCCAGATGCGGTGGACAGCAGTCCTCCAGTGGAGCCGAGGTTCTCACGATTGGCGTGTGCCTGGTTGCAGAAGGTGATGACAACCAGGTCTCTCCAGGTGCTGACGCCATCTAATTTCCTGAATCGCAGCGAGTAGTACTGCTTGCGGACTTCACCAATCATTTGTTGCAGTTCGCGAGCAACTTGCATGTTGCGCTTGGTGGTGGTCTCCGAGGCGATGAAGTTGCATCGGGCACATAGCTGTAGTTGTGTCTGTAGCGCTAGCCTTTGCAGACTGCCCCAGGTGGCGCGACATGCGGCTATTTCTTCTGCGGTGAGTTGTGCCTGTTCTTGACGAAGACGATCAGGAGCGATGTTCACATCGATGAGCGTCTCGATGTAGTGGTCTTGATTTACCTGAACTTCGACTCGCCCTTGACCATCTATTGTTGTGGTGAGGTCGGTACCGGCGTGCCTGTAGTTGCCACGCTTCGCAGTACCCCACTCATAGAGGTTGTCGATGAGTCGACAGATTTCCAGCCACTCATCGGAGTTGCGGTCACCACAGCGAGGAAAGTCATCTACGTGACCGCCCATCATTCCCAAAGTGCGAAAGACGTTGTGCTCGTCTTTGTCGACTTTAGACTGCCAGATCCAAATACACCTTTCTCCCACAAGTGGTTTGCCGCCGACGGACGAGAGGCGACGATGTAGGTCTAGCCGGGCCATAGCCCTCGAGGTGCTGTGGTGCTGCCGTAGATTTTTTCAGAATCTTCATAATGTCGTTGGGTCCGAGGCCTAGTGCTTCTCGAAGCTCGGCGACACCGCGTGTCCACAGATTCTGGTCGGCCTCGGTGGGTTGTGTTTGCAGGAACGCCATGGCCAGGTATAAGCCTTCCAGAGTCCAGTTGTGAGTGCAGGCCATCATGTACAGCAAGTTGCGTCCCAGGCTAGACTGCACAGGACTTGCGGTCTTGAACTCTGGCTGGAGGAGGTCGGGATGCTCATAGCCCAAAAGCACAACACGTGCTTTGGCCTTGCGGAGTCCATCCTTGGTGTAGGTGGACTTGACGTTGGAGACGGCTTCCTCCTTGGCCTCCTTGATGTCCTCGGGAGGAGTTGGTTTCCAGGTCAACACCCAACGAGCTCGCATGATTCGGCCCTGACCAAAAGCTTCTCGGACTTCTTCACTGTTGAGGGCCTTACGCACGGCTGCCGCTTTGAAGCTGCTGACCTCTTTGGTCTTGGCGCGATTGAAGACTTCTTTGAGGTCGTTGGTCAGCCGGGAGTAGACTACTTCGGAGTCCCGCATTTTCTTCACAAGGTAGGCAGACGCATCTCTCTGAATGTTCTTCTGTTGGCGTTGTGAGAGCTCTGACACGTCCAGATCCAGCTCAATGGTCATCGTGTCGGAGGACGCCATCAGAAGAGCATGTTGATCTCCTTGGCCATCTGAGGTCATCGGAGCGCTGGTCGTGCATGAGGTCATCCTGTCCATCAAGCCGAGGCTTCTTGGAGTCAGGTTCATAGACGTTGACGTCGGCTGCGTCGCGTGGTAGTCCAGATGAGGATGCTGCGGGGGCTTCGTTTTCGTCCAGAGCCTTCTCGTAGGTCTATAGGTGGTGCTGCTGTTAGGCTGATCCGGGAGATCAGGTTGTTCACGTTCATCAGGTCCTGGTTCTTCTTGACTGATGTCAATGAACTCTTTCTTCGGCAGGAGGTCCGAGAGAGATCTCCATTTAGAGATGTCTTCTTTGTTGTTGATCTCGAACTGAGTCTGCTCTAGGGAGGTTGTCGGCCGTACAGAGTGAACACTGCAGCGAAGGAGTTGGTTCTGTAGAAGGACCCAAACCACGCGACGGCGTTCAACAGTGTGATGCTGATGTGGTAGTACAAAGGCGAAGGCGTAGCGGCAAAAGCCTGTGTCCCTGGCCGTGTCCTGCTCCGCTACCAATGCGACGCACCCAAGATCCAATCGCACCGCAGCTGATGTTCACTTTTGAACAGGCGCACACAAGTGAGGTGGTCCTTACCACCGGAATGCCATGCTCGCTGAGCACACTACTGCCTTGGCAAAAAGGGCCTCTCCGGAGCCGATACATCATTGTGGAACTGCTCAAAGGGCCAGGTGTCAAGTGGCCATGCATACATGTGTTCATGACTGTGGTCATCAACTGACCTTGCAGAATTGCAGAAACCATCCAACTGGTGGTTTCCTGTAAGGGGACCAAAGCAAATGGGTTCATTCACACATTCCCTGAGCACCAAGTTGAACTGAGGGCGAACGGGAACCCCAGATGAATCAACTTCAGTTTACTTATGGCGGTTCTCAGCCGTCCGATTCCTTGGGTTTGTTCTATGGTTGATTCCATTCTTTTCAAAAACCGGCAGTTTCCCCTGGGTTTTTAATGGTTTCCTCAAAGGAAGGAGCCCTGGAAGAATGGAAATGGAAGGTACGTTTGGTTGTTTTGAGTCGGTTTACCGCAAAAGCCACCCTCTGGAGGTCTACGGCCTATCCTTCCTCAGCTCCGGAGACCTCGCCTGCGCCTGCGGCGATGGCAGCTGCTGTGTTTTCACCCGCGCCATAGCACGTGCTGCGCCCAAGGTGGGGAAGCCTTCTTTTTTTTTTCGTGGGTGGTCTTCACTTGGGTCATACTGTGGATGGACAAAATCTGGTCTCACCGTTTGTTGAAACCAAATCATCGTTCCAGGGTTGCTTAGGTGGTGCAGGATTTCCACCCACAGTAGGTGTCTTGTTTTTGGTTGTTTTGGACGAACAATAGATGGCGATTCCTGGTTTAGCTGGCAGCTCAATCATCTCAAAAGGACACCTATGACATAAATGTCAGATGCCCAGACCTTCCAACGGTGTGTTTTCTTTAGGACAACTATTTCTTGGAGTTGTTCCCTTCTTCAAATGCCAACAAAAAGGTTGCCCTTGTTCTCGCCACTGGATTGGAATGGTCCACAATTCCAGGGTGCCAGGTGCAACATGAATCCAAAAGACGGTCCCTGACAGCGGCTGCATGTTGAGCTTCTCAAAACTACTTTCTGGGCAGTCCCCATAGGCAAAGTGTACGGGTAAATTTGAGGACATCTCATAAACCAGCCCGAGCTTTCCGTCGGGGTGTGTTTTCAAATGCTCAGATCTCCAGTGGTCCGTTTCCTTGTCCCCGTTGTGGTAAGGGGGAAACAAAGCAAAGCATGGCGACTGAGGAGGGGGAAATGATTTTTCCCTAACAGCTGAAAGCTATGGAGTCTCAGCCCAGATAAGGTTTGGGGGTGGCTTGGGGGAGCTCTGGAGTCAGGTTCGAGCAAGGTTCCGAAGGTTCCGGGCATGGAAGGTTCCGGAGGTTCCGGGGTGGTCTGGTGCAGGCCAGGTGTTTCCGGGGTGGTCTGGGCCAGCTCAGGTGTACGGTTCAAGGAAGGTTCCGGAGGTTTCGGGTGGTCTGGTGCAGAAGGTTCAAGGCAGGTTCCTGACGCTTCGGGGTGGTTTGGTGCAGTCCAGGTGTAAGTTGAAGAACTGTTTCTGGGACGCAACGAACAGACAAATCCTAGACCTTCAGGCGCTACCACCTGAGCTTTTCTTTACATCGGGTAGTCTCCTGTTTACACGTAAAAACGTGATGTTGAGGGGAAAGCTAGGGAACGGTGTTCCAAATCACAGAAGTGGACAGGGCTTTCGGAAGACTACCACCCTCTTGTCCACTTCCATGCTTGTTGGTAGGCTCTGGGCGCTCTGCGCCGTGAATGTTGATGGTCAACTTGCAAGGGTCAGACAATTGGTGAACGACGTCCCGTTGCTTCCCACTAAGGACCATAGTTCTACCCGTGTTCGCGGTGTGCCGATCGGCTCTTTGGGGAAGCGGTTCTCTAAACTGTGTGGTTTCCTCGAAAACCCCCTTTCAAGCCACCACTAGAAAGGCTAGCCTCCCCACCGCCCCGCCATGAACAAAGAACAGGTTTCTGTTGGAGTCCCCTTTTAAAATGTAGGATAACCCACGGACAGTAACCCGTCCCCCACTTCTCTAACCGTACCTTCCCCATTCTCTTCAGGGACCCTTCTCTGCAACTCTCCAGAACACAAATATGGGCGGTGTCCCAAAAACATTGGCCAATCCGAAGAAAAATATGTCTCCAAACAGAACGCTGGATAATTTGACATATATGTTTTTTGTGGTTGGCTTCTGTTTGCTTCTGTTTGCTTCTTTTCTTTACATGGGGAGTCCACCTGAGCCACAATTAAAACCCGGGTAGATGAAGGTTAGTAAGGGACAATCCCAACCATCAATGGCTGCGGCCGCCTTCTTAACTCTGGAAGCATGGATCTGGGTCGACCATTTTGATACCGCGTTTTGATTATGACTCACCTCTCGAACTGTTGCTCGGACGCCAGGCGCTCCGCGAGGACTTCGCCTCCCGGGCCCAGGCGCTGGCGGCTGCCCGCGCGCCGGCGCCGGCGCTTGCTGCCGGAGCGGCCCCGGGCTACGCGGGAGGCGGGGCGGGGGGGACCTCCGTTTGGTGTTCCCAAACGGATGGAAGACGCGGAGTCCCAGGGAGGTGGCAAGCCCTTGGCTCGTTTCTTTTGGGTGTTTTTGTGGAGGGGGGGGTTCTCGTTGAATCAACTACCAAGGACCCTGCTAGTCAGAGAAAATCCATAAAATTGATCATGGTTTTGCTAGACGTGAATGGACAATTCCCACCTTTGTAGATTCCCAAAGCCCCTCTTCAGCCTCCAGAACTTCATGGATCGCATCGCTCGTTGCGCCCCCGGCCACCCGTACTTGTACCAGATGTTCAGGATCCAGAAATTGCTTTTCCGGAGGGCCTCCTGTTGGTTCTCCACGTGAAGTTCATGTTGTTTATTTTAAATCACTCTCATTTGGGGTGACTTAAAAAAGGGAAGCCCCTTTCCAACAACCCCAAAAAGGTGCCCTCGATAAAAAACATACTGTACCCATTTAGAGCCGACTTTGGGAATGTGGCTATTTGTTGTTGGACTGGGACCTCAAAAAGCGGTTGGTGGACGTGAACTCCCACCGCGCAATAAAAAGCCGGGCCCATCCGCCAATTCCACTCTTCCCCCGCTCCCCCGTCCGTTCGCGTCGCTTCTCCCGCCGCTTCTCGCGCCGCGCCGCGGCGCTCGGCGGGTGTCGGAGGCTTCGACTTCAGCTTCCCCGTGGACTTCGGGGCCCAGAAGCTGACGCTCTCCTGGAACCGCCACGAGGAGCCGAAGGCCGTGGCGGAGCGGTTCCTGAGGCGCGTGAGAGGGCCGGTCCCAAGCACTGCTTCGGCTTTGTGGAGCACGAGCCCCAAGTCCCAAGTCCCAAACAGCGGTTGTTGGGGGGTGGTGGTGCTTCCTGCTTGTCTTTTTTGCTGTTGCTTGTTTTTCCCCAACAGCTGAAAGCTTTGGGGTCTGCCCAGATAGGCTCCGGGGCGGTTCCACCAGGGTTCTACCAGGGTTCCACCAGGGTTCCACGGTTCTGCGGGGTGGTGCGAGCACCAAAAAACCTGAGCTGATGTTTTTTTTGGCTGGGAAAGAGGGGACCTTTGAAGAGTACCTAGTTCTCGCTCCTGTCAATTGCCTTCGGGTGTAAGTAATGGCGCATGCTTTACGACCATCATGATATGGATTAAAGTATCCTACAATTCCGTGCTAATGATTTAGGTCTTTATATCTTGGAATCCCAAAGCGAGTTGCTTCCTGTGGTCTTGTTGTTTCCTCCTTGCAATCAACTGTTTCTGACACCTCGCGCAAGCGAGTGTCAGGGCAAAGGAGAGAGCTGTAGATGTACGTCTTTGCGCCAAGTTTCGCCCCAAACACAAGAAGTGGGCCTCTAAAACAAGGACACCACAGGGGGAAATGAGAAGTCGCATCTGATTCTCTGTTCTCTGGGTGCTCAGGGAGAACAACCTGGACCCCCGGCATTCTGGCCGCCCGGCATTCGAGGTTCCGACGGTGCCAGCGGTCCCCTATGGGGGGGTGTTTTGGACGGTACTCCATACTGCTTTTTGGGGTTGGGTGACGGGGAAACCGAAAGGTAACCCATCATTTTGGGGGTCCCCGCATTTTGACACATACCCAGGACGCTGACGATCGGATGGTTTTGCAGCACTGCTTTCCTTTTGGGGAATGGCTGTTCACCTCCATGATTGGAAAAGAGGTCGCCTGAAGGGAGACCCAATCCCTATTTTTTGGCAGGGAGCGCAAGCCAAACATGCAGGTCGCGTTTTTTGTCAGAACTCATCTTGGGACTACCCTAAACTTGAACCCACAGGATACACCATCCCTGGGTTGAAGTCTATGTTGCTCATCCGACACCGGCTTTCTGTCAAGGCCTGGGTTTTCCTCAATGCTTCCAGGTCCGCTGGCCCGAGAGTTTCACTCCAAGTGCCCCAAAGTCAAAGCCACGAGCCGTGGTTTCCCTGTTGTCTTGCTGAGTTCCCGTCATTGTCCCTTTTGGTCAGCCAAAAAGGTATGCTTCTGACGGCCAACTCTTGCCGATTGAGGCGACGTGGTCGCCTTCGTCATGCAATCCATGGCCACACAGGGCGCTGGCGCCGGCGGAATCGGCGGAGCGGGGAAGGAGTTCAACTTCCCGGTGGAGGCGTTGGTGAACTCCAAGCTCAGTGGGTTGCAAGCCCTTTCTTCAGCTTTTGTTGGAGGGGGGGGTGTCCCTTCAAAATCAAGCAACAAAAAACAATGGCCACTGAACCTGGCATGAAGCAGACCCCCTGGTTGATTTTCAATGGGGTGCCCCAGTATTAATGGGGATTCATCACTTGAGAGGAAACCGTGCTGGTTTTTGAATCCGGGGTCAATATTTCGCTGGAGAATCGCAGTTGGGCAAGTTGCTGTCCTTCAGAAAAAAAGGAAAGTTTCCACTGTTCAAGCCTCTCTGTTCTGTTTTTTTCCTGAGGTCAAAGAGGGTAGTTAATTCAACTACAAATCCGTGTTGGTTATTTTTCCCACTCAGATGTGATACCAACCCCTCAGAAAGTAATTTGCAGCCTGAATAAACAAAAAGGGTTGGACATGTCAAAATCTGGGCTGTTCAAAGGCAAGCCTCAATTCTTACTTTACACAAGGATTTAACTCCCTTTGGATCATGATTTTTCAACCCAGGATGATGGACGATTGGATATTCCAACACCAACCATTCTGCACTGCCCAATATGTTCAAAATACTCAAAAGGAACTCAACAGGATAGGAAAAAGTGGATTCCAATCACCATGTTGAACAGCCCAGCACTTTTTTGGTCAAAAGACACCCGTCAACCAAAAGGGGATGGCTTGTTTCCATACTTTTTCAAAATTACCCCAAGGACTTTTTGTTTCCAGGGGGGGGGGGGGTTGCCCCATGTTTTTTCGGCTCACGTGAGGTGATGGATGGCCGGCGGCTCACCATCTCCTGGAATCGCGGGGAGAACCCGCAGGAGACCTCCTACAAACCATCCATCTGGGTTTCAGATGTTATAGAAAGAAAATCAAACTCATATGTTAATATACATATATATATATATACATGTAAATGCATACATATATAAATCTGTATATATATATATATGTACATATCCCAAGTGTTTTTTGTTGTTTTTTATCATTACTACTATATTACAGTTAATATTATCATCGATGATTATTAGTATATGTTCTTCGCAATTGTATCAATATGTGTCCCCTGGTTTTACGGGAAGTCTATCACTATTTGGCATGTGCTGTTCATTTTCTTCCAGGAAAACGTCGCCTTTCAAATGGAGGAGACCCAACGGAGAATCTCACTTGGGTTCCAGTGGGTGGGGATGCCACTGGGCTGTCCTTAGGTTGACTAGAAATAGATGGATAGATGAGTAGGGCTCCTTAAAAGATACATGTTGCAACCATTTGAAACATGTTGTTTTTTCCACCAGAATAAAGGGAACCGTCATTTGCAAGGCAATGTTCAGGTGTATAATGTAAGGATCCCTGTTGAGTCCCAGTGGCCTAAATTGGTATGCCCCAAGTCCCTTTGGTTTTTTCTGCCCCAGAAAACCAGGACTCATGTATTTGTTTCAAAAGGTCGGAAACCGTGATTGAAATCAACTGCCCAAGATTGAGCGTCCTGTTTCCCATGGCTGTCTGGGGTTTTGACCTGAAACAGGTTCTGGAGGCAAGGGACAATGCTGGGGTTGTTGCTTTTGAGACTACAACTCATGGAGTAGTCAAAAGCTGTGGACCGGCTTGTTCCAGTCAGTTTGCTATTCAAGTGGCGCACCCCCTGGTCTATTGACTAGGTCCCCCAGTAGTGCCCTTTTACACTTTTTTTGGGGAGGGTTCCCCTACTAAAATAGACTACAGAAAAAGGAGCACCCTTATTCTAACCTCTCCACTGGAGGACCTAGTTGAGGTTTTCCTTTGGATTCCTCCAGCCCCAAAGCTCACGGGTACACCCGGCAGGAGGTGGCGCTGAACTTTGCGCGGCAGCACGGGGGCATCAGCGCGGCAGAGCTGCCGGACATCGTGAGCTTCATCCAGCAGGCCGAATCCGAAGCTTGCGCGAGCGCGCCCGGGACCCCCGCAACCCCTCCAAAGCCCTAAGAGACACTTAAACCCTCAGACCCTCAAACCCTCAGCCCCTCAAACCCTCAAACCCGTACACACTCAAACCCCAAGAAACAACATGGTGATCCTTTGCTCCCACGAGAAAAAAGCATATCAAACCCCTCGCCCAGTTTGCGGCCTTGATACTTTCCTTGCTGGGCCTGGTGGACGCGGGTCAGCCAGGCCCGAGCCGCACAGTTTCCAAGGCCGACAAGCCCAACCGTAAACTCACAACTATACCAAGCCTAGGCACTGGGCAGGCCCCGTAGACGAGTAGGCCAACCCCCACATCCACAAGCTCACTGTCCTTGCGGGGCTCTGCTGCCAGCGTGTCACTTTTCGGGCGACTCTGTGCCGCAAAGACAAGAGAAGAAAACCAGCGCCTTGGTCAAAAACGTCAGAACAGCCTTCTACTTGGGGGTAGAGATGGTCATGGACCCAGGATCAAAATGCAAACAGCCCACACAAGGAGTTCTGACCAATGAATACATGAACATCACATGTGTCACACCTTGGCCAGGCGAGCGGAGGACCGGTTCAGATGCAGCAGCTTGGTGGATTTGGAACGTAGCCGTGTCCATCAAATATGTGGTGTTTGCCTTTACTGATCATTGGCAGCTTGAAGCGTCACCAACAAAGCTGCCAGAGGTGTGGGCGAGTTTTTGCGTTTTGGCATGGGACCAAGCTGGTTTTTTGGGCGCCGTTTCCAGCCATCCAGTGGAGTCTGCTTGCCACGGAGCTCAGGCAGGCCGCCCCAAGCCCGGTGATACCTCCAGCCATGCAGCAGGAATTGCTGCAGCAGGCAGGGAACTTTTTCTGGGAAATACAGGGAGCCCTGGAGGTGAAATGGGTGAAATGTGTTAAGTTGTGTCAAAATCGGGGTTTGGACAAGTACAACAAAACGTGTGGTGTTCCTTAATTATAGTGTCTCTTTAGACCAAACACGTTGTGTTACAAAGGATTGGTGAGCTCCTGGTTGATTCATAGGGGGGCCATTCCAGAGAAAACTCAAATTCCTTTGGGAGGAATCAGCCGCCGGTGACTCTGCAACGTTTGTGAATGAATTCGGGGTCAACATGACCCTTTGGCCCCGTTTCCCAGTTTGCAGTGTTATTTCCTCTCTCCCTAGGTTCAGACAATCTTTAGACTTTAAGAGAAGATCATCTTAGTGGTTCGGACAATCTTTTTGGGCCAATCCATTCGGGAAGTGAGTTGCATTTTTGTTTGGAGGGTTCGAACCAACAAAGGGTTCCAAATCGTTATTCGCTAGCCGCTGTTTTGCAGAAGGGGGCAGATTGAATTTTCCAAACTTAGACCTCCAATAGTACCCTAAATGTTTGTTTGGTTGTGGCTTCCCCTTGCAGAAATCGCTACTCAAAACAAGGGGCCTTTTGGCCCTCCAGTGGGCCCACGGAAAAGGTTTGCAGGTCGATGAGGGGCACTCTCGCAAATTCCGCTCTTTCTCTTGGCACCCACCCCAACACACCAACACACCAGCACACCAACACGCCAACACACCACCACCCACAAAGAAGCCCAACCAACAGCAGCGGCTTTTCTTTGCCCCAATAGGTTGCCAGGATTCCAAAGATTTGCCTCAGAGTCTCGGGTGCAAAACATGGCTGCAGGCAGGGACTAGCCGAGGACCCTGTGGCGTGATTTTGAATAGAAATGCAAAGCTCTTTGGCTGTTTGAGGGGCTCCGAATCCCAAAAAGGGGTTAGGAGTGTTGCCTCCGGTTTTTGTGCGCCTTGGATCCCAGAGACGGAAATTCCACAGCTTGCACCCCCGCTGTCGATGTCGCAGGTGATGGCCATGGGTTTCCCCGAGCAATCGGCGCGGCAAGCGCTCGAGCGCTCCGCTCAGTGACAGGTGGCTGTCCTTTTCTCACTTCCTAATCCCGTTTGGGACCATACTCTTCTTGAGATATTAGTAGGATGGGTATATTAGTCTGGGCTCAACATTAGACCATTTTAATAACAAACAAGTTGAAGTTGTTTTTGGTCCATCCACTCAGGAAGTGAGTTTTGTTGTCCCCAGAAATGTGGCTTTCGGTCTGATGTCCTTGTTGAATGAGCAAAAAACGCAAAGACAATTCCACACCTAACGGGCCTTTCGCGACGAGACGGTCGCACTCAAAGGACCCGAGAGAGATTGCTCACCCTTAGGGTAGATAGATTTTGAACCCCGAGAGGCTGGATTCCATGTCCTTACCCTTAGCCTTCAACCCAGTGCTCCCCCTATTCGAAGACTCACTTCTTGGGTTTGAGTCCACCTTTGTCTTGTTCTTGTTCGGGTAAGACATAAGATAGAAGCCTTGCCAGGCCAATCTTCATATTTCTGTGTTCTGGAGGCGTGTTGTTTTTCCTTGTTTTCAACCACAAGAGGGGCGAAAGGAGACTATCCTACTATGTCCAGGTGCCAATGTTTGACTTTTCAACCCCCTTTTGGAACATAGACGGACTATATAAAGGGACCAAGCTTAAAGCAATTAGAAGTCATTACCACGATCAACTATGTGAACATCAACAAGCTCAAACAGGTGCCCCTTCATGTATGTCGATTCGCCTTGGGCCCCCCAAAAAAAGCCAAAGTTCGAAACTCGACCGATGAGCCGCCAGGATCAACGCCCAAAGCGAAACCAAAAGGAAACCCCCCAGCAACCCAAATCCCCAAAACAGCCACTAGGAGGTCACCTAAAATTACTACTCCCAAACCGGAAATAAGAGAATCCCACAGAGGAATTGAAGAAGTGAGCGTTTTATCATGGCACGGCCAGCCTATGACAAGCTACCGCAACTAGAGGCCATAGGTTGACCTGTGTGGGCCTTTGAGCTTTTAGTTTCCCCGCTTTGATCCATTTTTCGTCGTGGCTCAAGAGGTCAACCTTTTATTCCCGGGTCCAAACTGGGCACGTAGTCCTTCAATTCGGCTGTGGTGGAAATCATTTCATGCAAGCATGCAGCCACTATCAGCCAATGTAGGGTCAAAAGTCCTCAAAGTAAAGCATGCCTGCAAAAAAGCAGCAGGGGCAACTCGACAGATCCCTCGTGAGGTCCTCGGCCTGGGACGCGCAGCTGGCGGTGGCCAAACTGCTGGGCTGAGAAAAGCGGGCGAGCTGCCAGGACTCACCAATGGTACACGAGGGCTCCGAATATGGGTCTGTGCTTTTAGGGGTACACCCTTTTTTGGTGGTTTTAACTGGAAGCCAAAAGGAAAACCGTTTTGCATTTTTCCTATTATTATTATTTTTGGGGGAGGGGGTAGTTGGTTTGGTCCGCATCTTCACTTAAACATACTGGTATGTGTGTGTCTGTGTCACAGTTGGAACCCTGTTTAGAAAACACCCTGGTGAAAGGAATATCCGCAAGAAAACTCCGCAAGGAAACCAACCAGGTTGAGGGACCCCTTTGATTACATAATATGCATCTTTCTGGTTCTACTTGCACCCACCTGTAAGGGTCTCAATAATCAAAATCGGGTTGGTGGGGTACTTCAAGACCAGATTAGGTCGTCATAAAATTGCAAGGTGCGTAGTTACTTAGCCCTGTATGCTATGGAAAACCCAGTTGATTTGCATAAACCCCCGGTTGATTAGGTCGAAAAGGATTCTTTCCGCAAAACAGTTGAGGAATCTAAAGTTTCAAGGTGCGTAGTTACTTCGCCCTTTATTTTTCGGTTTGCATAGTTCAGGTTGATTGCAAAGTTTATGTTTGCGAGTGGCTTGTGAACTCAGTTGTCCAAAGGCAATCGGCCTTTTCGCGCTTTGGTTTTCCCTTGTTGGCCCATTATTTGTCAAGGTGCCCAAAGGTGAACGCCTCTTACTTCTGGGTGCTTTGGTTGCAAGTGAGATCACTTGCTGCGATAGGTAGGGAATGTGGGAAAGAACCGGAAGGGGATTCCCTTAGAGAAAACTACAAGGCATGATTTATTAGGGTCATTCCCTCATTCCCTGGAGAGCACCAGCAAGATTAAGGCCCAGATAGATCCGCCTCCTGCTCGAGCACATCCGCTTACATGTTGCCCTGCGCCTCAGGTCGCATCGCACAAAGAACTGGGACGATTCGCGGCGAAAACGATGCACGCGGTGTGTTGCATGAGAGCCGTGGATTGAAGCAACTTGTGTGGACACGTTTGCTTTCCCGTGTTTGATAATTAACTCGTCACCTTCTGAGATTCTGGGCCAATTTAGAGTGTGCTTCCTTTTGGCAAGATGATATTTGACGGGGAATCTAGGCATTGTCACCATGATAGTGTATGAACTTGGGAAACACAAGGATGGTGGTCAAACCGGTCGAACAAGTCGAAGATGTCCGGCCAAAAGTCGACACGTGGAAGAACGTCTGCGCTTTCTTATGGCCTTTGGCTCACTTCCTGAGTTCCCTTTCGGACTTTACACTTTTTGAGAAAACCTTTTTAGCGGTGAACAAAAGTCTAGGCGTTTTCGGCCAATCCACTCGGGAGTGAGTTAGCCATTGCCCTCTTCAAGTAAGCGGCATATATGGGTTAGCCGCACTGTGCGGGAGCTGTGATGTGGCTGTGATTTTAAGTAGGGCACCACAGATGTCCACCAAAGGATCCTAAAATTGAAGTTCACACCCATATTTCGATTGATTGGACCTGAAACCTTCAGTTTGGAACGTGAAATTGATTCCTTTAAGGGAATCACGTCCGGTTCATTCGCACCACCGAGAAGGTCCTCCTTTACTGAGCACCAGCAAGAGCTGGGCTGAAGTTCAAGACTAATTTTGTTTGCTGATTGGACATATCCCTCAAGCGTTTTGGGATGTCCCCCCGGCTTTTGTACTGACTTCGATTTGGTGAAAGGGGAGGGTGGAGGTCAGGCCTCCCAGAAAATCACCGGGGCCCATGGGAGCCCCGATAACTGGGGCATTTGGCTGGGAGGGGAAGGGACGCCCATCTACGGCCTCCTGGTATCAAAGGGCGTGTGTGGTTTCCCCGCTCGGTTTCCAAAGGGCTCTGAGTCGCTGGACATCCCGAAATTGGGACAGATGTTGCGCCCAGTTCCAGACGAAAAACGCCACATGGAAGATGGTTTTCCGTGTCCTCCATGTCGGTTGCAGCTCTGGCCGGCTCAAGCCCGCCACCAATAAAGAAGGGCGGACGTGAGCATCGCCTGGAGATGAACTTATGGTATCCCTTAGTTGGTGGTTTGGATTGGTGGTTTGGATTTAAACTGGATTTGAATCAAGAACTGGGAACCCCTGGTTCGTTTCACCAAACCAAACCAAACCGCCAGTTGGCGGGAAGCTGAGAAATGTGAACTGCAAACCTTTTTCCACAAATGCCTCGCCAGAAAAAAATAATAATAATAAACATGTTCGCGCCCTTGTGGTTTTGGGCAGGACTGGGACTCACCTACCAATGGACAGAGTGGTTGCAAGTCAAAACTGATCACAACTCACTCTCAAAGCTAGGGTGAGACATGGCCAAGTGAGACGTGCTCGACATGGTGCGCCCTCGGGCGAGCTGTCCGACAACCACCCATAATGCATATCCCCAGGCGGTGTTCCCTTTTTGTTGCCAAGGTCTGGGTGCTTGGATACAGTAATGAAGGAAAGTTTGAAGGACCAAATAGGCAGTTCTGGCAATCCATTTAAGCACACAGTCACCAGATGTCACCAGATTGGGTCATGGGTTGTGAAGCCAGGGACAGGTTCTTGTTCTTGTTGCTGATTTTCCTTAGTGCTAGCCACAGGCATGGTGGGATAGAATCCCAAATTCGTCAGGTTGTGCAACACCCCAAGTGATGTATGGAAGGAGGACTGTATCCCCACAATTGTCCTTACTTTGGGATGTTTTACACAAAACTGAGACACACACACACCCCCCCCCCCCGCATTTTGTTGTTGGTGCTCAGTACGGAACGACCTTCCGGGTGTTGAGAATGAAGAATCCTCATTCCATTTCTCATGTGCTGCCTATCGAACCAAGTTGAGTCGGGTGACCTGGCGAAGGTACTCTGCGTTTGTGTGATTTCCTGCGGTGACAACTGGCGGCCCTTCTGGCTGCAAGAGAGCCGATGCCTCGATTGCCAAGCCGATCGATCCGGTCAGGGAAGTGGTAAACTTGGCAAGTCGATTTGGGATTTGAATCCCAAAACTGGTTTCCCTAAACAAGTAGACCCTGGTTGGCCCGAAAGCATCACAGCCCCGTGATCATTCTCGCGCAAGTTTTTTGCTCGATCGATGTGCAATCTGTCAGCTACAAGCAGCCATCAGCTACAGCAAGAGGAGCACTTCACTTTCGGAAGGCGTTTCCTCTACTCTGGAAGAAAAGGAGCACTTCACTTTCGCTTGTTGCTCGCAATCTCCGGCTTCGCGGCGAGCAGGCCCCAGACCGTGTCCTTCTCTTCTTGCGCTTGGCTGCGATTTCCCCCTCAAGCCACGGCAGGCCATGACGAGCCGCGCCTGCCTGGAGTCTAGCTACTTCGCGCTCCATGATATGCGCTTGAGCCGATGCTGAGATGGCACCTGCCACAGATTCGCAAAACCTGACCTGGTCACGAGCAATACGCAGCGATAAGTCCCAGCAACTAACCTTGTTCCTGCTATCTTGCCACCTATCAAACCCCCTCAAGCGAGTTTGCCAAGCACGTCAAAGATGACACATACACCGCCCACGTGCAAAACAGTGACTACAACTTCAAATGACTCTCATGATGACTCTGTGCAATCACTCTCATGATGATTCTCTGCAATGACTCTCATGATGTTCAATGACTTGGCTGTCATGATGACTCTGTGCAATGACTCTCATGATAATAAATCTCCCAACGGAACACCCTGACTTTTGCTCTGCCCAAGTTGCCCTGTGCTAGCGGCTCTGCGCAAGTCCTCTGTGGAAGTTGCTTTGCGCAGGTTGCTCTGCGTCAGCGCTCTTAGCTCTTGCTCTGCGCAAGTGCTGCCGGATCTTTCGGGAAGTACTCCGCATACTAGTTTTCTACTTGAAAAGTTCCATTATGCAACCGAAGCTGCAGGACTGTACTCCGCGTACTACATTACTACATTTCATTTGTACTTAAAAGCTGCGATTGTCCAGCCGGAGCTGCGTCCGCGTACTACGTTTGCACTTGAAAGTTGCGATTTCTGTCTAGAAAGCTGCCGCGGACCAGGCGGGGATCGAACCCGCGAACGCGCGACTTCGAGAGCAGCCGCGCAAACCACGCGACAACTTCCAAAGACCAGTTCGCAAGCAACAAAATCGCGCGGCGCCGCAGCGAGAGCGCTTCGACACGCACGATCCCCGCAGAGGGTTCGTCGGGCACTTTGCACATTCGCACGGCGCCGCAGCGACAGCGCTTCGACCACGCCGATCTGCACAGAGGGTCGCGCAGGAATGTTAACATCGTAAAAAGTCCCCAATCTTTTGACATCGACCACGCCGATCTCCGCAGAGGGTCGCGCGCACAGATTACAACTAAGAAAAATGGAGATTAACATAGACCACGCGGATCTCCGCAGAGGGTCGCGCGCGCACCGCAGAAATCGTAAAAAACATGTCCCCAGTTTTTTAACGTCGACCAAGAGGGTCGCGCGCACAGATCAGAATTCGCAAAAATTCACAGTTTTTTAACGTCGACCACGCCGATCTCCACAAAAAGGGGATTTTCGTAGAGTGCTGCCGTCCCTACCCCGCCGCCCTAGGAAGAGAGGAAAGGAATTTAAAACTCCTCTCAGGACAACTCTCATGAGCATGGCTCCTCGCCAGTGACTCTCACGAGCAATGCTCCTCGCAAGTGACTCTCATCAGCATTGCTCCTCGCCAGTGACTCTCACGAGCGTTGCTCCTCGCCAGTGACTCTCACGAGCGTCGCGCCTCGCAAGTGACTCTTTGTGCAATGACTCTGTGCAATGGCTCTGTGCAAATGACTCTGTGCAATGACTCTGTGCAATGACTCTGTGCAATGTGTCTGTGCAATGACTCTCATGATGATGATGACTCTGTGCAATGACTCTAATGATGATAACTCTTTGCAATGACTCTCATGATGATAACTCCCACCAACGGAGGAACCCTTCGCCATGCTTTCGTGGAAAAAGCTTCAAACAAATGGTTGCCCAGAATTATTTCTCCTAAACCCA